ACGTGTGCTCTTCCGATCTGGAATTTATAAGTAATGAAGTTACAAGAAAATGTGGAATTTTTTGTTCGTCTTTGCAATGTGAATACCGATATAAAAATATGTTACAAAGAAGAAATGCTGCAAAGAAATATAATAAAAAATCGGGACATGAAAAATGTGACAGAATTTGAAGAAAAATTTGAATTAATTAGTAGCATCGACGATAACCTCGAACCTGAGGTTTGCTTTGGAATAGGCCAGCATACTGTAAAAAAAAGAAAATTAGACACTTCAGACAGTGAAGAAATTGTAAGAAAAGGTCAAAACTCTCCAAACATTTTTGCAGTATTACGAGATATTCAAAATGAAAAAGAAAAACAGAAAGAGCGTCGACATAAAGAAAAAATAGAAGTTCTTCGAGAATTATTTTCAAGTAATAAATAAATCTCATATCTTACTCAATATTACTTAGCATATGCAATAACCATAATATATGTATACATAATAGTAAGATTTTTCATTCCAGTATTATAGATTATAACCTTTTGATTTTAACTAAGTAAGTATGAGTAAGGCTTTTGATTTTATTTTCGATACATTTTACTTTATATAACATTGTGATACTACATTATAAAAACTTCAATGTAAGGAAATTTGAAAGAACAGTTATTTTATAAGTTTATAAGCTACAAAAATGTTTATTAAAATTAGCTTGCACTGGTGTCACTTGTCCATTGTATGGTGTCAAAAGATTTACAGATATTGGATAAGCTAAATCTCCAATAATGTGATAATAATCACCCATTGCGGACACTTTTTCTTTAACAAAAGATATATCATACACACGAGCATCATGCAGTTTACCAGAAACTCCAGTAAAACAATCTATAAATCTTTTTTTTGTATCACATATGTCTTGCAAAGTAAGTGGTTTCGTCGTGTCTATTTACATAAGTATGACGAATTTTTTTCGCAGGTGTTCTAATCGGAATATACGTGCCATCTATACATCCCACAATTCCATCAATTCCACATATTTGTCGAAATTCTTAAGCGTTATCTTTACGTTCTTGATCCGTTGCAGGAAATCTAATTACTGTAGGAGCCAAATCTACTAAGAAATTTGTAATTCTTTTAATAATAAGATGCACCGTAGCGATTTGCATATCAAAACGGTCTGCTACACTTCTTATTACTGTTTTATTTGCAGAAAACCTGTACATATTATTAAAAAACACATATATTTCTTTACCAGCAGTATTTACTAAAACTGTTTCATATATTTAAAAATTTATAAAAAAATTGACGTACATACTATAAAAAAACTAAAATATGTTTTTTAGCCGTTTTCTTTTTTCTTCCGCAAAAACTCTTAGGATAATAATCGCTTTTTTCGAATAAATCAATAATATGATTACATATTCTTCTTGAAAGTCTAAAATTGTTTTTAAACTACAAAAAATTTCATAAGATAAAAGTACATCAAATATACATTGGATTTAATAAACATTTTTAATAAATATTATATGCATTTACTTCTTCTTCAGTATATTGATCAATGACATTACGAATACAATGTTTCGTTCGTAGTTTTTTCTTCTTTTGCATTAAACATATGTATTGTAATTCTTCATCATTAGATGTGTCTGACGAAGAAAGTAAAAAGTCATGTGCAATGAAAAATTTTTCTATATTTTTATTGTAATTATTTTCTTGCGTAGTGGCTAGCGTTATACTGCATGGCATTATGCTCGCTGAAATACAATTTTTTATCGTTATCTTTATATGCAATATTTTTACAATTAAAACTTTTTACATAACAACACATATACAAATCACTTACCATTTTCAGTTGTTGACGATGATGTGCTACAACTCGAGTGTGTCTGTACAAATTTTAATGTGATATTTCCTGAAAAGAAAAACGATTTTACATTTCTAATGCAATATGAGATTTAGTGACAATAAAGCATATTATTAATTTTATAGTATTATTAACAAAACATTACCATCGTTATTCACATATTCGCATAAAATTCCTTCAGCCGTTTCAATTATTTTTCCGTTTTTAGCTCGAATTATTTTCATACCCGTGCTGCTATTGTCTGTAAAAATTATTATTATTTAAAATATTTTTAAATAATTCAAAACTTTGCATCATGCTATATATATAAACTATAGCTACATATAAACACATACTATAATCTTAACATTTTATGTGTTTGTTTTTTTATAATTGACAGTAATTGTATTACTAATTTAGTACAATGTTTTACCTGATCTCATTGTTGTAGATATACCATTACATTTAACAGAAAAAATAATTTCTTTCTTTTTGGTTTTGTCTCGTATGACAAGCGGTATCAATCTGCCCGGGATGGATTTTGCGATTATATTGCGTAAAAGACGGTGGTGTAAATCGAGTGCCCCAAAAAATTCTACTCACACCTATGAACCCAGCGATCAAATAACCTTGCCCACTTATCTTTTTTCATGAAAAAGAAAACTTTTGATATTATAGGTTAGCACACATAAAATCACTTTCCGCCATAATACTTTTTAGTCATCGAGTTTAAAATCGAACTTTTGATCTGACC